ATTTGCTCCATTTCTAACACTAATCTCCATATAATAATTGGTGAAGTGGTGAACTGCATTAAACCCCATTTTCTAATTTTAATTTTTTAATTTTTATTTATTTATTTATTTTTTGCCAAAAAAGACCCTTCAACTATTGAGAGGATTAACTTAACAAACGGATATTAGTTAAAAAGGGACTGAAATATATATTGACCATGCATTCCGATTTATTTATTTTTATTAAATAACCTAAACAAAGTTGGTCAAAAAAATTAACACTTCTATTAATTTTTTCTTAATATTTTAAAAGTTTATTAGAATGTTGAGGAGATAAAAAAAAAAAAAAAAAAGTTTTTGAAAGCAATCATTTATTTTATTATTATTATTATTATTATTATTGTCTACTTTGTAAAAACATAACAGAATAATGATATGATACTCGTTAAGTTCACATTAACCACATGAACAGTAATAGATTTCTTATAGGAAAAAAAAAAACTTTTTTGAATTTTCTTTTTAAAAAGAAAAACATTTAGGCATAAAAAAAAAAAAATGAAAAAGATTTATGTATTATTTCATGTAGTGTAGAAGATTACTCCATTTTAAATGAATTCATAATATAATTCTCAAAAAAAAAAAAAAAAAAAAAAAGAAAAAAAAAATCAAGGAAAGATCAGATTCAAAGGTTCATTGAAAATGAAAATATAGTGTAAATAATATTTAGTGAAACATATTATATTTAATATATAAATATACAATGGTGTTCAACTGTTCCAGCAGGAAATACTATATTTACTTTTAATTTCAGCTTTAAGATCTAATTCAATGGTAATTATTTAATCAGCCTTCATTTTTCACTACTTAGGAAACTTAATGAAATTTTCTATTTGTTTGCACGGTTAAAGTGTTATTATAAACGACTCCTATATAAAATTGGAGTTAAAGTCAATAAATTGCCTACATCCCCTTTTTCTTATGTCGTGAGGCTGATTGAAGTCAATCCATAAACTCGGAAACAAAGTTCCCTTTCGTCAAGTAGGTAAAGTAGGCATACGAAGCACTTCACGCTTTGCCTTAGACTCTATTGGAACAAAGCAAAGAAGGAGGTGAGAGAAGGGCTTCTTTTAAATTCCTCAAATAGTCCCGGGATAGAGTCTTTTGAAAAACCCCTTCTACCAGCAAAGTCAGTAATCTCCTCTACTGAGGACTAGATGCGTGTGCCACGCTTTGCGATTGAGAAGTTGTTAGCCCAGCTACCTTTGCGGGAGACTCCACTCTACTTGGAGGTACTCTGTATTGGTACGATTTATTTGGATAAAATTAAGACAATGGTAGTTTTTATAATTCAAATGATGGTGGATAAGATTAAGACAATGGTAGTTTTTATAATTCAAATGATATTTGAATTTAAAAAGAAAACAACTGCTACAAGGTTTCTCTATAAATAGAGACAAGAAGAGTCTGTGCAAAAGGTGCTTGACCAACCCAACGCATTTTCTTTATTAATATTTTTCATTCTTGCAATTTCATAAAAGTAACCTTTAGTGTTAGATTTATAATTCTTGTACTCTGTATGAGAATTTTACTTATGAAATAAGAGTCGACGCTTGGTTTCAGTCTCCTCTACTTTGATTTTCTAAGTCTCTTGGAATAGATGAATGCTCATGTAATTTGTTTTACTCCCTTCATCTATTCTACATATAGTGCTGAAAGTCCTCTATATTGAGGCGTTGAATAACCTGAAGGAAGGGGTCATTCTTGCCTTCCAGCAATCGTCTGATTCACTAAGGACTGATTTTATATTAGGTCAGCAGCAAGAATAGTTGGGCTATCCAACCCCTTGGGTCCAAAGATTCTGACACACCCTAAAAAAAAATAGCCAAACACTATTACCATCCAATACTATTAAACTAAAATTACAAAATTAGACATTCTTTAAAGGAAACAAAAATATAAAAGGGCTAAATGCTCTTGCATTCCTGAGGTTACGTTTATTGCTCCTCTGTTAAACCTCAACCAATTTTACTTTCACATCCTCTTCTAAAGTATGAAAAAAAGTGAGTTTACTATTATACCCTTGGCTTTATTTAATATATATAAGCAAGCTGTGAAATGACAATATTACCACTCTCTACTGTTCTGAAACTTCCTCCTGTTCGTTCAATTTTCCCATTGCCTGTGGCGAGCACGGCGAAGGCAAGGCCCGTGGCGGTGAGGTCGGAACTTACAGATTTTGAAAGACAGTTTTGAGTTAATGAGTCTATATATTACCCTTTCTATAACACCAATGTATTAACTCCATGCTTGAACTGAGTACCACCGCCAGGGAAAACAAAAAAATTGCGACACTTGCGCACCCAATTTTGTTCCTTCTTGTATTCAACAAGCTTTTGGTGCGGAACATTGTCAAACCATATTTTGAAAATATAAAATTGATATTAGAAACTGATTTTTTTTTTTTTTTTTAACAATTTAGGCTGCAAAGAAATAAGAAAACTAGGCACCCTGTTCAGTCAATAGTTATACAATTTTCTTCAAAGGACTTCCATTCACATAAAAGAACAGTAAATCAACACATAATCTATTGCTCCACAGGAAGCGGCGAACAAGATGGCGATGAGCAAGGAACAGCGGTGGCGGCAACGATGTGCTACGACCACCCCAACACCCCAATAGACTTTCACACCGACACATGGTGTTCCGACTCTTTTGAAGTTAGGATGGCAACACGAAGAGACTTTCACGGCAACGACCCAGTTTCTGTTTGATTATTAGAATTAAAGCCCCAATATTTCACATAGTGTTAAGGTAGATTATTGAGTCAATTTGAAGATACACGGAGATAGGGTTTAGTTGGAGAAAAAATTGTAAAAAAGATAATAAGGTTCGCTTGGTGGTTGGGTATGGAGAACTTCATCTTTTCCAGTGGAGTTGCTATTGTTTTCTTGGAGCATGGAGCAAGTAGAGAGAATTGAAATAAATTTTAAAAAAATTTAAGGAGACATGTTGGCAAATTGGTGATAGCATGTGGGGGTATAAAAGTCTAACAAATTAAGAGTAAAAATGTATTTGTAACAATGCGGGGTAATTTAGGTATTTGATTTTATCAATTTAAAAAGAGGGTTGACAGAGAATATTAAAACAAACCTCAGGGGAAGTGAGAGCAATAAATTGAAATCTCATAGGTGGAAAAGTATTTAACCCAAATAAAAATTCCTATCATGCAAAAATAAAATTCTCCCTCATCCCTATTATTAATTTTAGTATCCTCCAATCTCTCAAAATTATAAATTGAATAACAGAAATAAAGTATTTATATTATCTGACTAATCATATGTAAGAATATGTAATGAAAGAGATATATAAATGAAAAAACAACCTAGAGTAGTAAAAGTTTTTTTTTTGGGAAAATCCTATAGTAGTAAAAGTTGTATGGAAGTTTGTTGAGCATCTCCAAATGCAGTGGGCAAAATATAATTGTAAAACATACTTTTTAAGTGCTTGAACATCATGCAAAAATATCAGTATTTTGTTCTCTCAAACAGTATTGAGATTCACAATAAATGTATTCCTACAAAGGAGGAATGAATAGCATGCTTGATTGATTTAATCTGACTTTTTCTTTTTCTTTTTTATTTATGCTCAATGTGTTTTAAAGTTGTTGTATAATCTGGAATTGAGTATTGGAAATTCAAATTTCGCTACAAAAAAAAATATATATAAAAATAGGGTGCTTTAAGAGGTTCAATATCACCATCGTCCACAAAAATTAAAAAAAAAATATCGATTATCTTATCAAAAAAATATCGATGATCTCACCTTATAGAAATTAAGACATGACTCCACGCATTGGCACCATGGAATCTGATTATTGGATGTAAATTGTAAAAAATGTAATTACCAAAAACACATCATGTCCAAATTATTTATTGTTTTATTATTTATTATTTTTACTATCATACTTTATTATTTTTCTCATTTTGATATATAAGCCTATAAAATTTTACTATTGCTCGAATTTATTAAAAAAATTCATAATTACTCCCTCCCCATATATTTTCTAAGTCCCTACTAAGGGTCACTATGATAGTGAGTGATTTTCTTACTCATTGGTGAGTAAGAGATTATTTTGTGCTTATCTATATATAATAAGAGAAGTGATTCATCCTCTTAATATAAGATATTTACGGGATTTTGTTTTAAGAGTTCCAATATCATCCAACTACATTGTATTCGGAGGATAAATCGTCAATTTTAATCGAAAGACCTATCATTTCTCGTATAATAATTATATATTGTATTACTAAATCTCTAACATACGTTTGACTAAAAATAATTTTTTGACCACTTTATTGGTAAAAGTATTCTCATCATAGCAACACCACCAAATGGGATCATAAGAGAAATGATGATAAATATATATATAATAATAATAATAAATGGTGATTACTCAAACTAAAAATTAAGCCAAAATAAAAAAAACGGAAACTCCAACTGTTAGCTTCTTATTTCCATAAAACATTCATAATGAGGTCAAGTGGCCAACCTATTTATAAGAATTAAGTTTCTTCCCTTTGTTTTTATCTCAATTATTGTCATCAATAAGATTTCTATAATTTTTCTTTCATAAACATTAATTTTGACTTAGCAACGAGTGCATATGCTAAAATAATAATTAAATTACCAACAAGTTTGCTTGAAACTTGAAATCTTATTTCTTAAATTTATATGTTTGGATCTCTCTTACTTGTGTAGAATTTATTTTGAGAGATAAGTGTGTGCGGACAGAAAAAATTATTAGATAACTCTGGTGACATATTATAAAAAATTATCAACGATAATTTTATTGAATTGATGCACCACATGTGAGATGTGACGTGACCATCTTATAATTTATAGGATACAATATACAAGTAGTGATGGTCGAGGCATTATTAAAACACTCAATTTAAGTAATTAACTCAAATATTGGGGCTTTCTAAGATATTAATAGTTTTTCGTGGCAGTGGGGGTAAATACAAAGAATCGTCTTTGTTCCAAAACCAGCCCGAAAAGGTTGTATCACTTTCCCATTGAGATTGTTCGATCAACAAAAACATTTCCAGATCGATAAGTTTTCGTCAAGCTCCGGCGAGTTTTACGGCACCGTAGTTTCAATCCTCCCGTCAATTTCCGGTACAATCCGATTTTTCTCGTATTCTGTATTTCGAAATTTTCGATATTCTATCAACCACAAACCACTTGATTATTACTATTTAGATGTCGGTGTTCGATTTTATCGAGTCTGAATTTAATTTATGAATATGTTTAATTTTGCATGATATGTGGACAATTGGAAAATTTAATAATAATAATTATCAAGAGAATTTTAGATTTTGGTTTTTGATTTTATTGTCTCTAAATTCCTGAATATGTTGAATTTTGCATGATTATATGGACAGTTGGAAAATTTGATAATAATTATAATTATTAAGAGTATTTTAGATGTTGGTGTTTGATTTTATTGAGTCTGAATTCAGTTTCTGAATATGTTTAATTTTGGATGATTATATGGACAATTGGGAAATTTTGATAATAACAATTCTAATTCTAATTATTATTATTGATTGAAGGTAGGTATTTGCGAGATTTTGACAGCATGAGTCAGGTATTTGAAGGATACGAACGCCAATACTGTGAGCTTTCGGCAAATTTATCACGAAAGTGCACCTCCACCAGTCTCATTGATGGAGGTGAGACATGGCCTCTTTCATAATTTCATTCATTATGCTGTATTTGATCTTGTTGAATTATGTATATATGGTGGTTATGCATATGGTTGTAGTTTGTAAATGTGATAAAGAAATGGAATAATACACTAAAAATTTGGAAAGATAAGAAGGAAAATTCGGAAAATTATATGTAAACTATGATATGAGAAAAATGATAATTTTGTGTAGATGCTATGTTTCACAAGTTTGTTGTGTTAGGAATTTCATACTAGGTTGCATAATTTGGACATTTAAAATTATATTGTAACTTATACAAAAAAAAAAAAAAATAATCATATTGTAGTTTTCTGAAAGCGTCTGAACTACAGAGATATAAGATAATCTTTGTTGTCGTTTTTTTCTAGACCATCACCTTTGCCCTAACCCGCCACACCTACAGATTCTTTTCATCTGGTAGCATTTAACTGGATTCTCAAATATGATTCGAAGAAGTGAAACAAGTGGGAACCATGGTTGTATTTTGATGCTGTATATAGAAAAAAAACAACGTTTTTGTGCAGATATTCGTGTAGATATACTCAATTCTACTTGACTTAATAGAGCCTTATCCAAAGACCTAACTACTTGATAGAGGCTACACAAATCTATTTTTCCACATAGAGGATATATCTTAAATTTGGTTTAACAATTTTATTGTTATGCCAACTTCAGATTATCCAACTCAGGAACAACACACACAAACAGAAAATAAATAAAGAAAAAGAAATAAAAATGAAAAAATAAAAAATAAAAATCCAGATTCTCCAGCAACCAACAGTAAGCACGATCGGCAAAGGAATCTCACTCACTTTATCTTCTTGTAGTTCAACATTGGAATCCACCCATTTAAGTAGATCAGGTAGAGAAGTTGTTCTGCATCTTTAGCTGTATAAACAGTGCCACCTTTGTGCGTGTGTGTGGATGGTCTCATTTTCTTTCTATCTCTGTATATCTGTTTGGATTTTGGAGAGAGATTCTAAGGGGGGAGAGGGTGTGGATGTTGCAACTTTCATGTATCAAATATACGGCCGGAGTCTGTTACTTATGATGGTGGATAATAATACGAGACCTCATAATATGTATAAGTAATGACTAATTATTAGTTAGTTATGGTTTTTGATTGTTTTGGTTCTGTACATTCATGAACTTGCAGAGCAGAAGAAGCAGAAGGTTTCTGAAATAAAAGCGGGACTAGATGATGCCGATGCTTTGGTAATTTAAAATCTGTTTTCAGTAGCCAAAAACTTATATTTCCTTCTCTATCTCTGGTTTTACAATGCAATCTTTGCCTGAATTTATCTAGATTCGTAAAATGGACCTTGAGGCGAGGAGTTTGCCAGCCAATGTGAAAGCTACTCTTCTTGCTAAGTTAAGAGAATATAGAACTGATTTGAACAATTTGAAAAGTGAAGTCAAAAGAATTTCATCAACTAATGGTACTCAGGCTGCTCGAGATGACTTGTTGGAATCAGGAATGGCAGATACATTATCGGTATCACTCTGTTTCTTGTGGTTCTTATTTTTTTAATTGTGGTTCTTATTTTAAAGTGCCTTGATTATTAACTTCTTTGAGAAGTAAGTTGAGGTTATGATCATGATGACTATTGAGTATACACAACATTTATTTTGAGTATTTTACGATATTCTTTTCCCTATAATTGGAGTCCTGGTTTAATTAAATTTCCTTGAATTGTTCAGTGTCTATTGCCATTGCATTTTAAACTGAAAATAGAGTATTTTTTCATTTTAAAACTGTTCTCTTTCTTCTTCTGCTTTTTGTTTGTTCGTCTTTTTCTATGTGTGAAATGTTGTAATGCCTAATCCAAACTGCATAGATGGGGTAATTATAGCAAGGCTCTAATTTTGCACCTTTTTTTAGCACTATTTGCTGTTGCACACAAGCCAACATATCATTTTCAGTATATTAATGGCCTTCAACTGAGGTGAGCCCTGGTGCAATGTTGAGGTTTCTCCATTGGAGGTAATGCTGCGTACATCTCAGTGTTATTAAAGGCCCAAGGCGTATCAAGGCGCTAGAGGTCCTTTGGAGCCTAGGCGCGAGGCGTATGGCGAGGCGCGCGCCTAAGTGAAGTGAGGTGCACAATTGAAAATTTAAACTACCATAATAACATTCATATCTCATAAGTCATATCAATATTCTAAAAATTAATATCAAATATAAAAAAGTAAATCCATCAACTATACAAGCATCCAACAACCATAAAACAGAGCGCCCAAATTTGTTTTCTTGGAAGGCAAAGCAAAAGGTGTTTTTTTGAATGGCAAAACAAAGCACAAAAAGAAATAAATATGTTAACAAAAAAAAAAAAGAAGAAAAAACAGAGCCAAAAAAAAAAAAAAAAAAAAAGGACACAGAGAGAAGAGAACTAGACGAAGAGAGAGATGTAAACAAAGATAAGAAGAGAGGGGAGATCTAGAGGAGAAGAGAGAAAGAAATAAAGAACTGACGTGGCTTCGTTATTCATCTCTGCAACCAGGGCTTCGTCTTCATCTCACAATCTCATTCTATCGTTGTTCGGTTAGCACTTTGACTCTTGGGCTTTCTTTTTTTTTTTTTATATTTTTGTACAAAAGTTCTTTCTATTGTATGCTTGGGCTTTCTTTTTTGTTTATTAAGTTGCCAAAAGTACCTTTTTTGGCTTAAGAAATAGAACAATCGTATTTTTTTAAACAAATATCAGTGAGGTGCACCTCACAAACAGGATGAGGTGCAACCAAGGCGCGCGCATAGTAAACATAAGTGAGCGTGGGATGACAACAGGCGCTAAACTTGAGCCTCGAGCCTAACAACACTGGTACATCTAACACTCCCCAGATCCTGTAGTGGCGGGAGTCTTGTGCAGTGGGCTGCCCTTTTAATGGCCTTCAACTAGATTTCTTTCTTTTATTTTTTATTTTTTATTTCTACCTCACCGTTTCTGCACGATCAACTAGAACCATGTAATTCCTTTCCAATGATGCAGTTATGGATCTTCATCCATACGACGATGCCAGCTCTACCAACTACCTCTCATATTTTCCAGTTTTTGCAATGTTGTTACCTTCTCCTCATGAATTATTGTCTGAGTACCTAACCTTCTCAACATTCTCGTTTCAGATACGCTCTTTTGTTGAACACTTTTTTCCCCAATGAATTGATATTCTGTGGCACTATGGTTGGTTCTTAACTTCTAATACATCTTATAATACTTCCCTTCTACAGTATATGGTTACCATAGATCAGTCCTGAACCTTCAAAACAACCCTTCTACTTCATCTTTCCAGCTGTTCTATGGGCAATCCGTGTTGAATCTCGCTGCTCACTCAAAACGAAACGACATTATTGGATCATTTCGTCATTTGTAGTTTATAATATCTATGGCTTGTTTTTGTTAACTTTCATGCCTCATCCCTTTTTAATGATTCATATGCTCCTCAATTTCATCCATTGGTGATGTTCCCCTTCTCAGTCTTATGATTGGCTGTCCTCAACCATTTTTTTACTGAAACATCATCTCTCCACAATTTTAACTGATTGTCTTTCCAATTGCTGGTTGTCTGTATGAAACCTGATTTTTCGGAGTTTTTACTGGTATTGGTATGCTGTGATTCTTGGATGTTTAGTTTGATGTTTTGATAGTAGGAAGATGGTTGGATGGATTATTTTCTCAAATAAATGACAAATACATGGAGAGTCGCACTGCAAGTGCTGTATTTCACCCTACAACATTCCCACTCTGAGTGAGTCACTTGAAGGGCATTGTGTCGATGTACAACAACTATATATTGACCTCCTGAAACTTTGTGGCTATTGTTTATCCATTAGCAATGCTTTTTGCATGGAGAATACCTGAAACTACTCAGTGGTGTACCTTTTCTGCAGCAGATTAGAGAGAGAGAGAAAGCGAGATCCAAAAGGATCAAATAGTGCCTTATTAATTTATTGAGTTGTTAGGATAATAGTTTACCTGTAATTAACCTGGAAGGAAACTGATTTAACTAGTTTTGCAGCTCTTTTATCAGAGTGAATTATGGGGAGCTAGTGTTCTTTTTATTTCATTTCCTTTTTTCCTATAGTAGTTTCGTGCCAAATAGATCGAGAGTAATGCACAATTTCGGTGAGAATAGTTTCAGACATATTATGTATAAAGTTATGAGTTTGTGCAGCTTAAACTTTTGAGGTATGAGTGTGCACTGTTGACACTCACTTGAGACATAATTTGGCATATCGATTTTCCTCCCATTTTTTTACTCTCCTTTATTTTGAACTATTTGTGTTCTCTTTGTAAGGATTTGACACCTTTGACAACTTTCTTGTCACATTAATAGTTTTTTTAAACTGGTGCTTGATTATGTTTCTCTGCTTTTTGCAAAATTGAGAACACGTCATATGTTGGTAAGACCTTCAAGATTTTTATAGCTTCCTGATACAATAAAGCAGATCCATAAATCATTGTGGATATTCATTTTTCCGATTGATGATCTCTTGGACATTGACATTTTGCTATACATTATGAATATGAATTTTTCTGCTAAACGGTGATGAATGATGGTGCAGGTGTCTTCTGACCAGAGAGGAAGGTTATTGATGTCGACAGAGAGATTAAACCAGTCTGGTGATAGAATTAAGGGAAGTAGGAGAACAATGCTGGAAACTGAAGAGCTTGGTGTCTCGATTCTTCAAGATTTACATCAACAGCGTCAATCTCTCCTACATGCCCATAACACGGTAATGTCCTTTCTCCACTTTTTGGTCCAGTTTTTTTTTTTTTACTCTCACTCTTTGCTGTTTTGATAATTCTTTTGGTTTCACTAAAATTCATGCTTCTATTGATAAATAAAAAAATTGTTACATGGAAGCGAAAACTTTTTGAAAACATTTAATCTTTATCCATAAATTTGTATGAATAATACTATTATTATATTAAAATAAATAAGAACAGAAGATACATTGATGAAGATGGTGATATTTGCTTCAAAACCTCCAAAGTTTTTTACTTCTTATCTCCCTTTAGGTTGTTCCTAGAATAGAGAAATAGTTTCCAATTTAAAGTCTTCAAAACAATGAAGCTAGAGAGAGAGAGAGAGAGAGAGAGAGAGAGAGAGAGAGATGCAATCCAATAATAGGTTTTTTAAAATGAAGTCCCAACTTTGCTAAATAACTAAAATCCAGGTAAATTAGCACTAGGGATTTATAAAGGATTGGTTGTCTACCCTTTGGCTAATTTCTAATTACTATTGTCACTTAAATATTTTGTTTGATCACATTTAGTTTTTTTAATAGAAGATTATTTCTAAAATAAAGAAGTATTTATATATACATACAGGAAAAACCTTTTTAGCAATCTCTTTACTACAATTACTGGTTCCAGTTTTTTGTGATAAAACCAAATTAAACCAAAGTGCATCAAATCACGTGAATTCCATCTTTGGAATATACGTTCCAATGCCCCTAGTATTGGTTACCCAAGATACCGCTATTTCAATCTCACAAGATCTCAACAATTTCACTAAGCTATTTAGTAATTCTTTTTGGCTATCGCCTCTTTCTAGCCGTTCTCAGTATTGGTGTTTTTTTATGGATCGCCATTTCAAGTATTGCTCCTGTTGGACTTCTTATGTCAGGATATGGATCAAATAATAAATATTCCTTTTTAGGTGGTCTGCAAGCTGCTGCCCCAAGACTAGAAATAAGTGTCCATTCTCTCAGTATCAAGAACCGTTTACTTTAATATGATATGAAATATATCATTTGAAACAATTTTATATGATATAAACATATCAGCGATCCAGTTCAGCACATATTAAATGCATAGAATGAAACTTAAATTCCTTGGATAACTGATTCATTCTGTCAGCCGAGTTCCCCTGTTGTTGGGCTTTCTGAAAGCTTATTTGGATGCAGGGAGAGCACTAAGCCCTCATTTGAAGGGTAGAGCAGGGACTGAGGGAGATTTTGTGGACAAGAAGCTTCAAACATATCAGCAATCCAGTTTAGTACATATTAAATACATAGAATGAAACTTAAATTCCTTGGATTCACTTACTACTATCACTTTTAAGCATTCTGTTCTTCCTAATCAAATCGAGTCTTAGGATAGCAAGAGAAGAAATTTTTTGAGAAAGTAGGATTCCTCTCACTGATAATTTCTTCAAATAGCATGGTCTCAGATTTCTGCAATAAAACATATGAAAAATAGCTATTTCCTATGAATTTTGGTCTATATTTCAGCTTCCCTTATTCCGTACATAAGTTTTCCTCTGATCTAGAAAATTTTACATTTATGTTCTTCATATTATTATTCCTAATTGCAATCATGTTTCAACTGTCTGTTTATGGATTCCAAGCACGTGTAAAACATTTATATTTCAAATTTGGCTCAACTGATATTGTGTTCTAAGGGAATTTTATTTTTATTATCTTCTAAAGAAGAAGAATAAACGATCAGGTAAAAGAAGATTGATGTAAACCAAGCCTATTTATGTTTTCTTGCAAGTTTCTTTAAAAAAATAAAAAAAATCATCCTAACTAAAAAAAATGCTAGAGAACATGTTTTCTTTTATACCTTTCCCTTTGTTCCTAACCAAATAGAACCTAGGGGATAACTATTGTCCTTCCAATTTTACACGCTCGTTTTCATCACTCGATGCCAAACAGTGTAAGCTTTGAGCTCCAAAGTCATCTAGTCACTAGGGATGTTCCTTTTGCAGATCCATGGGGTGGATGATAATATCAGCAAGAGCAAGAAGATCCTTACTACCATGTCAAGAAGGATGAGCAGGAACAAGTGGATCATCAGTAGTGTTGTAGCTGCCCTAGTCCTTGCAATCATTTTGATCCTTTATTTTAAGCTGACCCATTAGCTTGCCAGCCTCGATTTTTTATTTTTTATTTTTAAATTAATAAATCCACGTGTTTGATTTCTGGCATATTCTTATGTATGGAATGTCTGCTCTTGGAAACACCTCTATGATTTTTATATCCATATCTATATATATTATTTTGATGCGTGTGAAGTCTGGGTGTTTCTCGTCATATGCTCTAGTTATCTCTACCCTCTTGGCCTTGTATGTCTTGCAGTTGTTTGTTTAATACCGGCTCTGGTGTTCCTTTCATTGGATTGGATGGCGTTAGAGCTGTTTTTGCCTACATGTTGAATTTGCTTTGATTTCTAGAGTTCTTTTTGTTTATGAAAACATGGGAGCCTACAGAGTTGAAAGGGTTTTTATTTTGTTTTACAGTGAGGAATGATTTATTTCTTCCATTTCCGCCCTTCTCTACTTGATCACACAATAAATTATCGCCGCATTTTCAATCGTTTACAGTTTTACTACAATGCAGTGATTATTCCCCTGATTTCCATGACTTTGAACTTAAAACAGTTTCTTAAGGAATTTTGAGATGGTTTAAAGAGAGAATTCCAGTTTGTAGAGAGGTAATACTGTTTGGCCTTTCCTAGCTCTTCTAATGCTGTGGATTCTGAGCTTTTGTTTTAGTATTTGTAGTTTCTGTGTCTGTATTGTCAAAAATAAATAAATAATAAAAAAAATTAAAAAAAAAAATCCAAGAGAGAGAGAGTATAAATAAGGGTAAATTACTGACACCCTGTGGTTTTCCTTATGACAAATCATATACAACTTGCCTCATTTTTTAACAATTAGACTCATTTAATGTTTGGTAAAGTTAACAAAGACATTCCCATCACATGTCACATCGATATTATTACTATTTGACTTGTGAATTGATTTGTTTGGATAATGGAATTACCATTTTAAGTTTTCAAGTCTATTTTTTTTGACAAAATTATCTTTGAACGAAATGAAATAAAATAACTTAAAATATATAGGATATAGATATCCCACAGAGCTCCTCTACATAATCCCACTTTCCTCCAATGTTAGTCAAGGCCATCCAACTTGGTAACGGTAATGTTATTTTATTATTTTGTTCATAAAATGTTTGTTGTCATTTCAGATACTAGAAGGATAAAAGTAACCTTCTATTAATTTTCTGTTGCTGACATCAACAGATTTTGTTTATCTCTATCAGGTGCCTAACGAAAAAGGAAAATTTGTTACATAAGCCAGAACTTTTGGAAGAGGGAAATTTGTTACATAAACTGGAACTTTTGAAAAAATAAGTGAGATTATGAAACATAGAGGGAGTCTACAAAGAGAAAAATAAGCGAAATTTATCCCCTTTTTTTTCTTTCTCACCAACCACAGCCATCACTTCAACTGGGGAGCCTGGATACAAGGACGAGGCATGCAAACATAAATTCAGAGAATTGGTATCAGAACAACCAATCACACCCTAAAGATACACCTGGAAATAGTGCTTAAGCCTTTTTTTTTTTTTTTTTTTTTTTTTTTTTTAATCGTATGATTTACTCAACCATAATAATTGCAAAAAGTGTCTTGAGTGAACCGCGAATGTGCTGGGTAGGAAAATTCGAAATCTTCGAAGGCGCGTGCTCAAGCGAGAATGGGATCTTCGAGTCCGAGTTCGTATCCAACGACATTTTCTGAGTTGATTGGTTCCAAATTGTGGCATGTGAAGGATTAGGAAAAGATCGAGTAGAGACTGTGTTCTTTCCTCTCACGGGATCGACCCCATTTGAGGCCGAATTCTTCGTCGTCGACGAGAAACTAGTCGAATTGGAAAGCCAACAAGGATTGTGAAATTGTAGTGGAAGTCCGTGTAATTTTATCCAATCTAAAAATATAGTTACTAGCCAAAGACCTCTTAAAATCATTAAGACTATCTTCAGCCTCTAAAAAACATTAAGACTATCTTCAGCTACATAGATTTGAAGTGTGGGATTAGAATTGGTATTGGTGGAGTTGCTTTTCCAATTTCACCAATTTTAATATTCCAATTCTATACAACCGAACACAGCCGAGCGTTACTAATAAGCATCAAATAGCAAAATTGGAGGACCCCCCAAACTTAATCCAACCAAACCTTAGACAAAGGTCACATTGACATGTATTAAAAATGACTGAAACTCTATGGCAATGACCTAATTTCGACTTCGAAAATAACTCCAATCACATAGATGAAATTGGCTGCAATGTAGAGCTTGTCTCAAGCTTACAATGCTTGTCCCCTAACTTCTCTGAGACTAAAAAGTTTGGAACATTTGAAGTTTGGGCCAATTTTCTATAATTTTCAATTGAGCTTTTGTCCAACTACTCCAAATAATTCAACGCCGGGTATCAAGCATCAATTATGGCAGTTAAAGGGCATGATGGTGGCAATGGTGACTTAAGCTTTCAAAGTTGAAGAGATGGGAGGAGGACATGCACATATATGAACTAACTTTGTGCACAACCAAAACAGCAAATGCCCCGTGATTCCTACTCTTATCACCCACCCACACACACACACACACACACACACACAGAAATACACTTGTTCTGGTGGCACAGTATTCCCCTATATGTATATGCATGTTTGTGTAACTACTCCTAAATCTACAACTTAGGGTTTAACTGATAGCCATAGTGTGAGAGTTGTTGTGGGTATCGAAGAGAATAGTCTCATCCTAAAGGAATGGGGGTTAGCAGCACATCTTTAAATCTACCATTATAACAAACAATGCTCATGCATTACTTCCTATTGAGGTAGTCATTCCATTCCTTGCTTTGGCAGCTCAACAAATTTCAAAACACTTGATTTTGATTATGATTTTCTAGGAAATTTGATCATATAGCGGGGCTAAAATCATGAATTACGTGTAAATTGCCATTCCAGTAGCAAACAGCAATATCATTAGGGCAGATCCAAGTCATGAATATTAACCATTTGTTTCAAGAACAACGTATTAATTCCTTAACTAATGCTAGATCTCTCTATATACGCCAATTCTTTGAGTCACATTCTCATGAATTAAATCACATGTAGCATGATCATGTCATGAATTGGACAACAATATTAGCTTATTAAAAGTTCTCATAAAAATGTCAGCTTGGCTTCATTACCTTAATTCGAATGTGGAACTGCACGTAAATTAGCTTCTTTTCTGGAGTTCCGAGAAAAAAAACATTTCTTCGAAGGAACTAGAAGGGCAAAGCCATCAAGCTTTCGGATTCAAACAACAAATACTATTTTAAGCATAAAGCTTCCTGCCTCTGATATGGATAACCTGCATTTGGAATCCTGATTGAATAGCCCCTCATGATAGTGCCCCTTCTCAGCCATCACCAATGTTTGGCACTCATATGAAGAAATTTATGATCACGCTAGCTGGCCAGTTTCAATAGGAAGCCAGAACCAGTTGATTGCAGAGCTCAAGATAATCTTATACCCCAGAACCAACACTACAACATACTGAAGCGTCAATTCAATCATCCATGAGCAGTATCACGGAATAAAGGCACAGATAATTTTATCAAAGGAAGCTTGCCACTTGAAGGGAACAGGCATAGTAGAAATGAAAAGATCCTTAACGAGCAGCGCAGTTTTTCATTGGATCCTCCTCCGGAGAATAATCTGGAGGTGCACGGTCTTCCTCATCCTCCTCTGCTTCATCCTCATCAGAATCAACAGAAACAGGCTGCCCATTGAGATCCACATTTACGCCATTCATCTTCCTCACAAATTGTCCCCGCACACGAGGCCTCCTTTCGGCAAGCCGTTTCCTGTTTACATACCTAATTTTCTTGTCGAAACAACGTTCCTTTCTCTTCTGTCTAAACTTGATCAAGGCTGCCTCTCTCCTATCAACTTTACCTAATTTCCCCTCAGTTGAAGATGGACTTCCATATGAAGGCAAAGGATGGGTAGTAGGTATCTGGCCTCGCTGTAGGCACGTACTAACCGGGTAACAGGGAAATGATGCCAGTCCTGGTACATGGGGAGGACATTGTGAGATATGATTGTACTGAGGCAACAGAGCTGGAGTAATATGGTTTTGCAGATCTTGCAGGTTCTTTTGATACAATTGCGCTGATGATGACATCATAACTTGATTCATTACTCCTGAAATAAAATATGGATAAGCAGTACGTGCGTGGAAACCTGTAGCTTCATGGTGAGACTCATTTCTCGGATGCACATGCACCTGAGAGAACTCTTCCTTCCTATTGTTCCCTTGTCGTGGAAATTCCAGTCGTTCAGGAGGAGTGGAAGACATCTCCACTGATAGAGGATCATGGATACTTCTAGTGCTTGATAAATCATCTCCTTGAAAATGATTTTCACATGCCTCTCTATTTTCTTGTCCTTGAGTATCATTACACACTTGTCCAGTCCATGTGGCAAGTTTCTTATCAATGCTGAATTGCTGAGGAGCATTTTCATCAGCAGGGGCAACCCCTTGGGTGTTGCTTGTGAACATGCCTGATTTGACATATGTAAAGAAGGCTGAAGACTCGCCTATCTTAAGCTCACTCTTCTTAGGGTATGACGAAAATTGTTCTGAAAATTTACCAGAGTTTTGATTACCTTTCAAGTGGGGAAGGATGAAAGTACATAAGAATAAATAAAAAAAGCTGTTAGCCTGTTACCTAGGTGGTGTTTGATAAAACTTTAAATTAATTACGAGTTGAACTCTGAAATTGCAAGTCTGAAAACCAGTTTGATAGTAACTGGATTCTAATTGCTGAATTTATTCAAATTGTTTGATAAGTATAAAAAACTGAAGTCCAGAGAAATAATTAATCTTACAAAGCAAAAAAACAATAATATATGCCATAATTGAAACAAAAACTTCAGTCAATTATAAACTTGATAGAAATTTAAAAAGGGTAAAATTTTATTTTTAAACAATAACATTGAATTATTAATACTAATGAAGAAATTTTTTTGTGGTTAATGTACTGGCGGCATCTCTTCATAATTGACAGTTGAGACACACAACACCTACATATTAATATACATATATAAACACAAACATGCGTGCATGTATGCATATAGAATGACAATGACATGATATCAAATGAATGTCTAATATCATGTCGAATAATAAGTTCTCTTTTTTTCTTCTCTATATATATAGAAGAAGAAGAAGAAGAAAAGAGCTCACGAAGATTGAGGGCTGATGAAGATTCATCTGCCAAAAAAGAACTCATACAAGATTGAGGCCTGAGGGCTTTGTGGTCTGTCGAGATTTGGATATGAAAATTAAATGAAAAAACAGAACTGTGAAATGGAGGGGAAATATAAACTAAAAAAAAGTTATCAAGTTGCCTGCATATCCATGACCAACCCGTTAACTTGGTTGTAAAATGACAAAATTGACCTCTTATTAAATGTTGAATTAAAATGCTGAAAATTATTATTTTAATATTACAAAAATAATAAAGGACCATTAAATAATGTTATATTTCAAAATTGTTTAATGTTAAATTACAAAATTGACCTTGCTATTTTAAAATTACAAAAACAATTTAAAAAAATTATTTTCAGCATTTTAATTTAACATTAAAAGGCAAGGTCAATTTTGTCATTTCACAACCAAGTTACGGGGTCAGTCACGGATATGGAGGCAACTTGATAACTTTTTTTAGTTCAAGGGTTTTTTAAATTCTACTAGGAGTTTTATCCACAATTTTGAAAGTATGGGGGGTTGTATTTTAACCCTTTTTAAAATTAGATCTTAAATGCATTATCAGACGCACTTATTTTAAAAACCACTTATTTTGTCCAGTTTTAAGTGTTGAATTGAATTATCAAACTCGATGTATTGGTGGACTTGTTGTTGGTACTCATAGTCATAGAGGGCTGGATTGAGTCACATACCTAATTTTTGGCATTATTAGCATAAAGTGACTATCCTCACATTCAAACCTAAATTCTCACATTTAGCATCTGTGCTTCTACCACTGCACCAAGCAATGGGCTAAAAGGGCATAATCTACATGTATACATATGTGTATATATATATATATATATATATATAATGGTTCGCCGAACCGGCCGATTTGCAACAACTTTTGGAGCATGTCTTAGAACGTATAAATAAGTCACTACTTGTGTTAAATGGTCTTAAAATGTTCAATAAAAATTACTAAATTCATTTTTATTGAATTGTGTTGTACAAAGTAACGCGTCGGAAAATTTTTTGGTTTATGTGCTCAGTAAAAAAAAATTCACGATCGCGATAACTAATTTTGTTCTTATTATACAGATAAGGACCTGAGTCCGTTACACTGCGTCCATGACTGTGAACCATGATATATATACAAAAGAAAAGACAACCAAAAGTTGACCCCCTTGCCCCTTTGATTGTTTCAAACTATGAAGCATAGATATGAACATGAAACGGATATTACAATACGTCAACTTCGTAAAAAGTAAAATATGGATACACAAGGACACGACAATATATATATATTCAAAAACATATACATATAAATTGATATATATGTATTTGTGGATAAATTGAAATCAAAATTGTTTATGTTATAAATTTTGTTATTAACATTTCTTTTTAAAATATGATGATTAATATACAACATATGAGTTAAGAGTTATAATGTATGGATAAAATTTGGACTAAATCGTTATTTGGACAAAATTTTCAACTTTTCTTTACAATACTACAATATTATTGTTGGAAAAGTTATATTTTAATGTTCAAAACTTGTTAAATACGTGTTTTGAAGTATTGAGAAACATCGGATACATGGTCCAAGTACTTGAGAAGTATCGGACACGTGTTAGAAATAAATATATATATATATGTTAAATTATAAATACGTTTAGGAAGTATCGGACATGTATCTGTGAGTATCGGTATCTAACACGAACACGACATGGGTACATCTCTTGTAGAAGCATCCGTTCTTTCTAGGTTTCAATTATCATCCGTAGAGATGGGTGCAATGCATGTGAATTAATAACAACATTCAAGACCTATATAATGACATCAAATTTGCGTTAAATAGGAGGTGCCAAAGACAAGCTGTAGCTTGGCTTTCTTTGTTCTGGTGGGCTGAGGGCAATCACCACCCTTGTGTAAAAGAATATGTGACTAGCATGAATATCAATCCCAATATCAGCAGCTTTCACAAATTTTTGAAAGACAACAAGCTGAACATATGGGATCATTACCGAAGTGCCTCAGATCTTCACCCCCCAAAACCATATAGAATCAAATACGGGAAGAGGATTAGCTCCCAATCAACCAAATTCAAGGACTGCCAGCGGGTGCCACACCCAGTGTAGAAGGATTCCATCAATTCACCATTCTGGAATCATCACATTTAAGATTATTGAAATTGTCAAGGTGCAAGGGGGGCAAACAGCTCTTCATTTTATTTTATTTTATTTATTTATTTATTTATTATTATTATTATTATTATTTTTGTGTGTGTGGGGCTAAAATAACCTATATATATTTAACCAAGTTGAAGCCGTTCTTGAAAGCTTTTAAAATAAACAACATTTAAATTATATAAAAAATCAACCAATTTGATCCATTTTCATTTAATCTCCAAATATACTTCAGGCAAGGAAGGGTCGATGCAAGACTGAGGAATTTCTCACCTGTTTGCCGTTCATTAATTCCTGGCATAAGTGGAGGCTCTACAGAGGCAGCAACAGTGGTAGCACTGGCCTGCAAAATATAAACACACAACAAAATTTCACACCAACAGTGATTGCTAGTTTAGACATTCAATTCACAGAGGAAAAGGAGTCCTTTTATTTAAATACTTATGAAAACCAAGCTCATAGTAACTAACAAATTATTTTAACCTTTTAAGTTGATAGAAGTCGAGCAATGAGCAATGACATGACATGCAAGTTGTGGTGGAAAAATATAGGTACATATAATTTCCGACAAACCAATTACAGGAGGACCCTTAGATACACATACCTGATTGAATACTTTATGTAATAGGTAGAGTAATAGAAATTGTTGGGGATGTCTCAAATTCTTATTGGGTTGGGTTTTGAATTGTAATGGTTTGAGAGTGTTTTGTTATATTTGGGCCCAAAGTAATTGTCCTTGTGCCCCAAGTAGCTGCATTCCTTACCCAACAAGGATTTGTATTACTTTTTCACTGAGCTAGGGTTAGGAAAACTCTATAAATAGAGAGGGAGTTTGCTGGAGAGAGCAGAAAAGAAGAGAAAATATAATGGAGGAGTGAGTGAGTAAGTGAGAAGAGAAGAGTGCAAAGGGGCACCAAGAGCAGAGAGATGCAACTTAATAAAAATTGGTGAGTGTGTGAGGGTAGAGATGATAAGTGTGTAGGTAGAACACCGATGGTAAGGAGTGGTATTGTTTTAAAGCATAAAACGGAAGCGAAGGGATAAATAAAACAAGTAGAAATATTACGTGGTTCAGTCACTAGGGCCTACATCCACGACACAAAGAACCTAAAGCGCTACATCACTTTTATAATATTCTCTCAATTCATATATAATACAATGGTGGAGGCTCCTTTATATAGGAGAAGAAATTATGAAAATTGTAAGAATTAGTTGATAGGAAACAAGGAGGATTTTTCTCCACTGATTCCTGTAGTAACACCAAATCTTCAATAATAGGAAACAACATCAACTACTGAAAGATTTTCCTATTCCTCCATTAAATCTTCAATACTCCCCCTCAAGTTAGAGCATGAACGCCCAACTTGCCATTGGGATGACGAGTAACAACAAAGTGTGAATGATGAAGAGAGAAGAAAGAAGACGAAGAACAATGCTACCGAACACACCGATAGCCCAAACAAGTCAAAAAACTGCCGGAAACAAGACAAAGGTGAGGACAATGCTACCGAACACATCGGCAACCCAAACAAGTCCATAAAAACTGTCGGAGACACGGCAAAGACGAAGACAATGCTACCGAACACACTGGCAGTCCAAAAAAGTCAATAAAAACTGTCGGAGACATAGAAAGGCGAAGAACATTACTGCCGAACAAACCGGCAGCCCAAACAAGTCCCAAATAGCACCAAGAAAACCTTAGCAACATTTCAGATGCTAAGGGAATACCCCAAAATAGGGTCCGAACCTAAGAAGAGAAATTAGGCTCTGATACCATGTTGTAAAGCATAAAACGCAAACGAAGGGATAAATAAAACAAGTAAAAATATTACGTGGTTCAGCTATTAGGGCCTACATCCACGACACAAAGAGCCCAAAGGGCTACATCACTTTTATAAGACTCTCAATTCATATACAATAAAATGGTGGAGGCTCCTTTACATAAGAGAAGAAATTATGAGAATGGTAAGAATTAGTAAATCGGAAACAAGGAGGATTTTTCTCCATTGATTCCTCTAATAACACCAAATCTTCAATAATAGGAAACAACATCAATTACTGAAAGATTTTTCTCCACTAATTCCTCCATTAAATCTTCAATAGGTATGCCGTAAAGGTAGGTATGCCGTAAAGGCTCGAGTATCGAACATCATGTCTTGAGCAGAGAGTGTGTGTACATGGTTAGGTGTTAAAGTCTGTACCGGTATAATTTCTCACGAGGAGTAAGGGAGTTGGGTATTCTCTACAGTTGTATATTCTCTTCTTGATTCCTTATATTGGAATTTCTTCTCTTCATGGACATAGGACAAGTTCAGCTGAACCACGTAAAATATTGTGTTATTATGTGTGCTTGTTTGTGTCTTGCTTCAACTATGCTGAATTAAGGGGATTAATTCCCTAGTGGTATCAAAGCTGAAGGTTCATCCCAGGGAGTTCGATAGTCAGTTGACCGAGGCCAATAAGACATAATAGAAATAATATGACGATTGAGGTGGGGATATTCAGTCAAGGTGAAATTTTTTCGCTCAAGGTGGAGATTTGTTGGGGGATGTCTCAAATTCTTATTGGGTTAGGTTTTGAATTGTAATGGTTTGAGAGCGTTTTGTTAGGCTTGGGCCCAAAGTAATTGTACTTGTGCCCCCAACTAGTTGTATTCCTTACCCAACAGGGATTTGTATTACTTGTTCACTGAGCTAGGGTTAGGAACTCTTTACAAATAGTGAGGGAGTTTAGTGGGGAGAACAAAGAAGAAAAGAGAATGGAGAAGTAAGTGAGAAGAGAAGAGAGTGGGTGGGTGCAAAGGGGCATAAAGAGTAGAGAGATGCAGTTTCATAGAAATTGGTGTGTGTGTGAGGGTAGAGATGATGAGTGAGTGGGTAGAAGGCCAATGATGGGGAGTGCCGTGAAATGCTCAAGTATCCAATATCATATCTTGAGCAGAGAATGTGTGTACACAGTTAGGTGTTCAAAGCCTCTCTTCATGTAATTTCTCATGAGGCCGTAAGAGAGTGGACATTCTATACAATTGTATATTTTCTTCCATGGACGTAGGTCGAGTTCGACCGAACCACGTAAAATATTATGCTATGACGTGTGCTTGTTTGTGGCTTGCTTCCGCTGCGCAGAATGAAGGTGATTAATTCCCAATAGAAATTATAGCCAGAAAACCTATTTCGATATAAGCATCGAAAATTCGTACATTAACTCAACCCATTAATTTTGGGATACGGATGTAAAACCAAAGGAAATAATGGCTCTTGGAATCATCTAAAGAAAAGAGGTAGCAGGTTCCTCTTTTTGAATAAATAATATTCCCTTCGTCGAAAATCTATGTTACATGGACTCGAATACGTGATGCGAGTGTGTATCCACATGTTAGCCCAAATAAAAGGACACATCGAAACAACTAATATTCATATTATTTAATATATATATATATATATATATATATTTATTTATTTATTTTCTAGAGTAAAATTATTTTATGTATCATAGTGTTCAATACAAGCATTTCACTTGTTTTGAAGTAATCAAATAAAAAACTTCAGATATTGTGTGGTTTTTCTAGGTGTATGTCCAACCAGAAGTTTTGGACATATATCCCATACCCATATATGGGTATTGTGTGGCAACAGGGGCAGTTTACCTACTTCTAAAGAGTCTATGTAAGATAGCCCAAAATAAATAACCCTCTTTCCCTTTAGGATGTCCAAAAATTCATGCCCCTTTTGAAAGTCAATATACATGTGTTACTCCCTTCCCTAAATTATCCTTAAATTTTGAAATTATCTCATGTTAATAATGTAAATCTTTAATCCTTGGGGGGCAACTTTTAGGATTTTTGAAGGGAGCCATTCATTTAATCCATGACCCTAAAAAAGTTAGAATCCCTAAAAGGCAAATGTGGACAGAGGTTTTCTCTTCGCCCATTCAATATTTCATTGGAAGAATGTATTAAGGAAAATGATATGTGATTATACCTTGCCCCCTTTTAAGGGTAGTGGAAAACAATGGGGCTGGATAATTGATGTGTATTCAATTCATAGGTACTAGCAATTGATGATATTCTCATATTTGTGACATTAATGTTACTGTGATTAAAGCATTACAAATTACCAATATGTCATCGAGGGGCTCATTAAAGACTTACTTGAACTATTACTTAATAGAAAATGAGAGCTTTTGTTAGAGTGGCAGCTCATCTAGGGTTCCCTCTTCTAGAATCCCTAGGGAAGAGAGTCAAGTTACCCCTAACTAGTATCTTGGTGCACTATCACCCTTTAACGCTAAGCGAAATACGGCAAAGAGAAAACCTCGGACCATACGCATCATCTCTACTTTGTAGGAACTGGGAACTACAAGATCACCCAAGGATGCCTTTGGCATCTTTGTCTTCAGAAAAGAGATGCAACTATGTGAAAAAGACAATTACCTAACTTGCAAACATACCTAGGCAAAATTAAATATCTGAAGGGATTATCGAATTGATGGAGTACAGGACATGGCCCAAGAGCTTGAAATACACACGACCCGCACCTACTATTGGTAACGGAATTAAAAAAAACAAAATTGTTTTAGTTACAAACCATCTCCGAAACACACTCACCTCATCTTCCTGATGAGTTGACACACACATCTCCAGATTGGCACTTTTACGAGACTTCTCATCTGTGTCATCTGAGAAGAGATTAGCGCTGTTTGTATTGGCATCACTAGGATCTGATGCCACCAGATCGATGTCATATTTGAAGATGTTCTTTTCCGCCAGTCCAAGCTGCACATGTAATAAATAATATAAGGGAAAATGACTTTACAAATATTGCTTTATGGAGATCTAATATGTGGCTACAAACAAAGCCAACAGAAAAGCTTAATGACACACAACTTAAACAAATCCAGGGAGGTCGGCTTATAATGGATATGAATTACGGAACAGCTGAAAGAAGGTGGCAGTTAAAGTCGGCAGGTACCATGTATTCTTTTCTGTTCAATATATTATGGTAGAACAATGAGTACAAAAAATGCTCAACCATAAAAAACCAATCAATTTACACACCAATCTCCTAGGTTATACATTTATACCCAGATAAAGGATCTTTTAATTCCATTGACACTGCCTCATATCCATCTATTTTGAAGTGCCGACTAAATTAGATATCGGTAAAGATTTTACTTGAGGTTGAAAGAGGAGTGGTATCATGTAATGCATACCATTTGCCGCCTTCTCCACATGTGAGTCCACAAGTTGAAGAGCTCATTAGTGCGTAAAGGCTTGACAAGGTAATCGGCTGCTCCAAGTTTCAAGCACTTGACAACAACAGAGACATTATCCTGTGCTGACATCACTTTGAAAAATAAAAAGAATAAGAATCTGTCAATATTTAGTGAAGAAAGACATCAAACAATTGAAAAAAACAACAAAATAAACAAAATCATTCTTACTGATCACTGGAATGCGTCGCAACTCTTTATCCCTCATAAGGTATTTCAACATCTTCAAGCCTTTGGCCATTGGTAGGTCAACTTCAGAAAGAATGATATCTATATCAGGCCCCTCGGCATTCAGTGCATCAATCACCTGTCTGGCTGACCTTACAGCAGTTACTGTCAAGCAACAATCATCCGCAGTCAGCCAATGAACCCATGCTCATTTCCTTTATAACAACAGTATGATGGACTACATATAGTGTTCAAAAGAAAGAGATGGGGGGGGGTGGGGGTGAAATATGCTTTAATTAAAGCAGGAAGTAACACATGTGGATACAACTTGAAGGTTGATTGCACATAGGCAGAGTATTCGAATGACTCAAGCCAGATTGCTACTAAGGTTTAAGGCTGTCCATATTACGTGATAGCCAAAAATTCCAAAATAAAGCTCAATAGCTGTGCTTAAAGTTTATAGGCTTTTTGTTTATGACTTCAAGATACCCACTTACAAGATTGGATTCCCTATAGAAGAAAATAATCTAGAAAGAACTATACTATAAAGCGCTCTTAGTTTTGGAACAAGTCATTTCCTAACAAAATACTCATGTTCTGGCTCATAACTGTTCGAATAAATAATTTGAAGTTTATCCAATGGCAATTAGTCTTGTCCCAAGAGACTTACACTAAAGAAAATAGAGATTGTAATGACCTTCAAGCAAATTATTCTTTATTAAATGGATCAAAATTTATTTTGATCACTGTTGTCCAATGTCAATGGATTTATCAATATCTATAGTTAAAGCTTTTCCAGTGAATTTGAACGAGTCTTCACACTTCTGTCCAAGCCTTTACACTTTTATTCCTTCTATCTTGTATTTCTTCTGTTTTGGGGGTTCAAATCATGAATACTGTGTTGTAATGCAACCATCAATTAGAATTGAATTTCAGTCCAAATCATAAAAATTGGATTTTGGTGTGATCAGAAGCAAAAACGAGTGGAACTAAAATAGCTCACTCAAACTATCAAATTAAATTAACCTAGAAAGCCTAACCTTCCTTCAAAAGGGCCACAGCCCCTGTATGAAGCCCATGCCTCTAAATGATTTTAATGCACCTAATTGTATGTTCACCTTCATAAGAAAATAAAACTTCATCCAATGTCTTCCATAATGATTATATACCTTGTTACCTTCTACATACAGATTATAGTCATGCAAATTCTTAAGGTTGCAAGCTTAGAAACAATTCAACAAGCTAATTCCATATCAAACTTCTTTTTCTTTTTTCAATTAATATCCCACATTAAAAATTAAAAAAAAAAAAAAAAAGGGCCAAATTTTCATAGGACTTTCAATCTAATACCAGAAAATATTAGCAACCAACAACAATCAAGGGAAATTAGTGCCTAGCAATTAACCATTACTATGCGTGTGTATATATATTTATGTACCTTGATAGGAGCATTCGCACAAAAGCTTGAACACCTCCTTGGAACTCTTGGCGTCATTATCACAAAGCAAAATCCTCACTTTGCTCCGATCGATAAACGCCTCACCGTCTTTACTCAACACCACCTCATTCCGCTCCATACTCACAATTCAACCAATCACAAACCAAACCCTCTTATAACATCACCTTCTCAAAACTAAGGTCTCGATGAACCCTGAACACCACCATTTTTGTCCATACCACAAGTAGGGGCTTCAGAAACAGAATCAAAACCGAATACTAGAGAACTTCCATGAAATCTCTCGTTTTTCAAATAAGAGAGCGAAACTGAAATCGGAGTTCCGAATTCTAGGGTTTCGACCACAGACTCCATTGACAAATCAGAGTCCTCATCTGGCATATACCAAACCCAAATTTTGATTTGCAGAAATAAAGTGCAACAACTGAGCTGAGCTGTCTGTGTTTTACCATGCTCACCTGCCGCGTACGTTAGCTTTGATCAGAAACGTTAATGATTAACTAAACCAGAAAATTGTGCAACTGAGACAATCCATCAATCAATCCCCTCCGACGACGGGATTAGAAAGATCAAGATGAAATCAACGGCTGACTTTGGATCAAACGGCGATGAAGCGCAAGTTTAGTAACGAACGTTTATTATAATTTATATATGTCTAGTATATAATATATGTATATATTTAGTCTGTGATACCTCAAAGTGACGACTTCTTCTTCCACTTGTCTGCACTCGGCTTTCTGCTAATAAAATATTACTACTATTTAATACCAGTTACGCTCTGGTAGTGGTGGGGGCTAACGTGCGCTGGGATGGAAGGGGACAATAAAGCGAAAGAATATTGTGACTCATGCATATTACAAAGATCCAATCCATGTAATGTGCCCGGGTAATTGGTACTCCTTTCTCAAAATAAATTAGCACTTTTTATATTTTGGAATTTCTCAAAATAAGAGTTTGTAAAAAAAACATAAAAGTTATTATGAGATACATGTCTAGCTGTTTTTGGGTTTCTTTGTTCCTTGTGTCTTGTTTGTTTTTGCCAGGCCAAAAAAATAAAATATAAAAGTTACTATGAGATACATGTCTAGGTTTTTACCTTATTATGAGATTTGTGATTATTGGAAAGAAAAAAAAAAACTAGAATTATAATAAAATTTGTATCAAGATTCTTTTAAGTAATTACAAACTTTATTCAAACTTTTATGTTCTCTTTTTAACTATTTTTTACAAAAAAAAAAAAAAAATTCGCCTGTTTTTTACTAAATTGAACAGTCATATTTGAAGAATAATAATAATAATTTTGTATTAAGGTATTTTGATATGGTTTTATTGTGAAGTGATCATTTAAATAAAATATTGTGTTCAATTTTATATTCAAAACATGTTAATTTAAAAGGAGTCCATGACAACTGTCATAAAGCGCACGTCAAGACAATTTTACTATTCCAAATTTATGGTTTTCAAAATTGTCCATAAAATTTGAAAACTTTTCAAATTAATAAAATAAGAGATTAAATATTGTTGGCTGGTTTTGTAATTTTAATAAAAAATTATAGTATAATATTACTTTTTACATTTCAGAGCAGTGTGAGAGTTCTAGTTTCATTAAAATGAACTCAATTTTAATCCATCCTTGGATAAAACCCAACCATTTTAAACTATGTACCCAGCTCCGACTAGATCAAACCCGTAGAATGAAATTTGATACCCTACGCGGTGGATCGAACGCGTGGGCCAATGAGTGTGTAATGAACATTGCCGCGCATGATAGCGCAGAGGAAGACGTGGATGGAAAAGTGTAAGTAAAAGTGGGGCCACATGGTGGCGGCATGTGAAGATATTTTGTTAGAGATGGAGGGGCGGCCACGTCATGTAAAGATCTTGTGAAGAGGAAATGAAGATTTTGATGCTGCTGAATCAATCAAAGATAGATATCCCCACACCAGTGGTATATACTATATATGTACACAAATGATTAATAAAGGACTTACCATTCAAAGGAAATAAGTGGTACACCCATTATGCACGGACACTCCTATCTCAAGGATTTCGTATGATTTTTTTTTTTTTTTTTGATACGAACACCTACGTCCGAGATTCGGATCCGTATCTGATACTTTTATAAAGTATTTAAAAATTATTTTTTATTCGACACGGCTTAGACATATAAGGGACACGTCTCGAACACGACGAGATATATTTTGTAATTTTTTTAAAGATAAATGGAGTACCTAATGTAATTTTTTAGATGTTTAAAAGTAAAATTTTGAAAAAATAAAATAACAACGGCAGACAAAAGAGTACTACACAGTAAATTTATTTTCTCTCACTTCCTCTCTCAGTCTCTCCTCTTCTTTAATTATCTCTGTGCATAAACAAAACATTTTTTTTTTTTAAATTACATGAACAAGACTTCATGAAAGACTGAAAGTATATATGTTTATTCATGTACATATTTAGCATATTATAACTATGTATTTTCTGCACATCTTCGTTTGGAATTTGAATCAATTTTATTTTTCATTTATTTTCTGTTTTGTCTTGTCTATATTTTTCTTATAACAAAGATGAAATTATTGAAATTGGTTATGTTATTTGTTGTTGTTTTATTTGTAATTTTTTAATTATATATACATGTTTGTTATTAGGAAAATAAATGTGCAAGGTTCTAGTAATTATATTTTGAATATATAATTATATATATATATATTATTTTATACGGATATTCTCGCCGTATTTGTGTCTTATTTTCTTAAAATTTATCATGTCACCGTATTCATGTCATACTCGTGTCGGTGTCTATGCTTCATAGGTGGTACATAATATATACTTTATATGTACACAAATGAATATCCCACACCAATGGTATATAGTATATACTTTATATGTACACAAATGGATATCTCACACCAGTTCTTATCATTAAGTGCACCATGTTAATCTGAGCCATATATGTATAATATGTGTAGGTGTATACACATGACGAAAAAATTCAGATTAATTCAGTACCCCGTGCATCACACGTACTTAATATTTATTCCATTCAAAGAGGCCCAAATGATTTTTTATTTTTTTATTTTTTTTATTTAACTCAAATTACATAACTTTGTTTACGCTTTGACAATGCTATTCCCATTCAAGTGTCTGGCTTTTTTATAACCCACCCTCACTAGTTCCAATCCTGAAATATCATCTCCCCATTTTCATGTTTTATAGTCCCAATGCCCTATCACACTTTGGAAACTTAAGTAATCCCAGTTGTTGCAACTGTGTTTTTTTTTTTTTTTCCCGTGTTTAGGGACAAATCTAAGAGTTCATATAAGAGTGACAAATTTATATAAAGAAATTTTTTCATAATTTTAATAGAAACAATTTCAAAATTTTATAAATATAAATATAAAAAAATATAAAATATAATAATAAAAAATTTCAATAAGGACGGATGCTCTCACGGACCCTTTCACATAACGGCGCCAATTCTTCTGTTTTCGAAAAAGTACCCACCTTGTTGGCTTGGTTGTACGCTGACGTGCCTAAACCGTTGGTATAAGTAGACGGAGGAGAGAGAGAGGTGACTGCTAACCACTTGAGCGGCAGTTTAAGTAAAATGATAGTTTGGGATTTTTTTTTTTTTTTTTTTTTTTTGAAAAAAAAAAAAACACTCTTAACATTAAAATTGTTTAGTGTACAGTTTGTTGACTGACACAAATATATACAAATAGGATTAATCTCTAACATTTTTTTACAAATGGGACCAATGTCAATCTGTACAAAGTTATAGAATTTAAGTCCAATTATTACTATTATTTTTAATTTTTAATTTTTATTTTTAATAAATTACATATCACACATTCATTAACAAGTCAATTATTGTGTTGTCAAGATCTTCAACTTCATTATTATTATTATTATTATTTTTGAGAAACTTTAAACCAACTAATCAACTGTGACATTACAACTATGTGAGACACTACACTAACACTAATGCCTTGTTTGGTTGGAGGGATAGAATTAAAAATGGTTGAAAGGGAATGGGAAAGGAAATGATGAGACACCTTTTTTTTTTTTTTTTTTTCCTAGTTGATACTCACACACAAGTTTCGAACTCCTGACCTTCCTTTAGAAAGTAAGAGATTGATACCTAAGCCACTGGCCGTTGGTTGGATGAGGCACCTTAGAAAAAGGGATCGGTCTTTTTCACTTTTTGTTTGGTTGAATGGAATAAACAATAAAAATTATGCATTATTAGAATTAAGAAAGAAAAAAAAAAAGTAGTAACATATTTACAAATTTTAAGTCATTGTTCTTATTAAGAAGGTATGGCAATACTATTTATATATATATATATTAAATTAATAGAAAATAAAATATTTAAGCTTTAAATAAATTAAATTTATATCATATATAACATGTGAGAAAACAAAATAAATTTTTAAAAATATATAATACAAGTTAAAAGCACCATTTTTAAATAAAGGATAAATAAATAACTAGAGTATACTAATAAACAAAAATATATTGCATTTTAAAAGAAAATAAGCATCACCATTCGAAAATATAGAATATATATTTTTTAGTGCAGGCTTAATGCCATGACAACAGTTCTCTGCATATGTCAATGGTATTTTTAGGATCAGGCTTCTTTATTAAACAAGTGCATATATATGCTCCTAATTTCAAAATGCAGGACAGAACAAACATTCTATGTGTTCCCAAAATTCATCATTACATCGAATTCGTTTCATGTTGATCGAGACCAAATTGACGCGTCTCATTTCAGAAACAATTTCGTTCAAGGACAATTCATTGTTGTCAATTGACATCACAAAAACAATTTCAGGGCAAATTATTAGTAGATTCTCGGTATCTCATTTTTTTTGTTTGCCATTAACAAAAAACGAGGATCTCTGTCATTGTAGAGTGGTTGAGACTCGGAGTAACCGGCTATTTAACAAATTATTTACATACGGATGAGCTTATTAATATGTAAAGTTCTCGCAAGATAGTCTGAGTCGCAAGCACTTTACAATGACAGAGACCTTAGTCTTGTGTTTGTTAGAGTTGCACTACACAATCAATCGATTTTGATACCAGTTATTATGGCGGAAATACAAAATAAGCAACACTGTTCAAGGAATAAACAAGCAATCACGAAGAATAAAAAAAATCACATACAAGAACACAAGATATACATGGTTCATCCAAATTTTAGGGCTACGTCCATAGAGCACACCAAACAAATTCACTATGAAAAACATGAAGAATTACAAGGAGAATTCTCTCTCAATTGCTCTCTCTTGTATTGACACAAATTTATCTCTAATTTTCACCCCTATTTATAGAGTCCCAAACTTGTCCTACAAGAACTTACCTTTTGTAAAATCCAAAACCTATAAGGAAATTAAATCAGATCAGGAAACTGAATTTGCTTTAAACCAATAAGGAAGTCAAATCAGATTAGGAAACTAAATTTTCCCTAACAGATTAGGAAACTGAATTTTCCCTAAAATTCAGTACTCTTGAAATTTCCATATAATTAAATCTTCCTAAAAATCTTCCCCCTAATCAGACTCCACAAAACCACAACAATCTCCCACTTAGAGTTTGGAGCACTTGTAAACCCATTCCATCTTCTTCTCATGTATGTCCCATACATGTCGGTGCGCTTCTTTCTGTCTTCAAGCTAGAAGACCAACTGAAGTTGCGCACAACTTCAGTTTCTCCATGGTCACTGTCTTGGTCAACATGTCAGCTGGATTCTTGGTGCCAAGTATTTTCTCAAGTGTC